GAATCAGGCAGGAGGTGACGTGAAGGACCTCTACCTGAGACCCTGGAGAGCTGCTGCCAGTCCGATTAGAGCCACGGCTAGCCCGATTTTATTAGATCTCAGCAGGGCCAGCCCTGTCTAAAATTTGGAGGTGCGACCTCCAAGGAATATCAGGGTTATGGCACAGACGCAGGCAGTGGCAAACCACCTCTGAAATGTCTCTTGCCTTAAAAACAAGTCTAGCTCACCACCTAGTGGTGCATAACACTAAAAGAGCTAGAACGTCCGCCTGCCAGACAATCTTAGGTTATATGACACACACTGCCATATGATAGTTTTTATCCATTATTATCAGTCAGAGTAGACAATACTGACCTTCATAGATCAAGGTCTGATTCAGTGTAAGGCAGCTTCATGGGTTCAATTTGACCGACTGCAGGGATTTGGGGCCCGGTTGAACATTGTAACCCATTCATCACACCTCAATCAGACCACCTTCTGCAGAAATGAAGGAATAGAGGAATGGCCGACGGCCTGCCCTGGCTTCAAGGCTGGCAGTGTTCCACTATGTTTCCTTGGTTTCACTTTCCTCAGCAAAGTACGGCCGCCTGGCTATCTTCCTCTCCATCTGTAAGATCTTAAGTTAAGCCAGTGACCCATGTCTGTCGCAAGATGAAACAACTTGTGTTTGGAGACCAGGGAAACCTTAGGGCTGTCCTCCAGCTGGCTGACAGACAGCCCAACCGAGCTTTAGAAATGAAGAGAGAGGTCATCCAAAATCTCCAGACACTCATTTATTTGTTGTGTTTTTCAAAAGTCGTATCCTGGTTCAATCCCCACCTGGAGAGTTAAGTTTCTGCCTTTCAGGGTCGTCTAGTTGGACGAGGCCGATGTTTTTAATCACCATTTCCCCCCTCCTTCTTGTGGACCTCGATGGCTGGCTTGAAGAGTCAGATGATGTGACTGCTCTCAGTCAAGCAGCTGCACTGCTTCTATTCACACGAACACATGAAGCGGCCTTTGACCGAATCAGACCCTTGGTCCATCAAAGTCAATATTGTCTACTCCGACTGGTAGCCAGGGATGGGCACGAACCAGTTCACAAATGAAAGTTTGCGACGAATCTCGGCCGGTTCTTGGATCGCAAACGAAAGTTTGTGGTAGGTCTACTGGCATGAACGTTCGAACGGTTTGTGGCGATTCGTGGCAATTCGTGAACGGATCCAGTTCCAGACAGACTGTCTCCGCTCAAACAAAATGTCTGCTAGACTTCAAAGCTACGACAAGATACAAGCCCTCTTCATGCTCAGCTGGTATAGCACGGAGAATTGCCGAAGTGAAGAAGGGGTAAAGAATAGCTGAGCTGTGCATATTTAAGAAACCATCCTTTCTGGCAATCGGTGCATCCTTACATGGATATTATAATGCCTGTTTTGTTTTCCTAACTTGGACATTATGTTCCTCCTCTTCGATGTCTTCAGAATCAGCTTCCAGGTCCAATAGACATGGAGGCCACCAAACATTCTGAGCAGGGATTTGGGTTGCCTGGTCCCAGTTGGGAAATTCATGTAGATTTAGGGGCGGAGGCTGAGGAGGGTGTGGTTTCAGGAGGGGAGAGACCTCAGCAGGATATAATGCCATAGAGTCCATAGTCTCCGCCCTCCACAGCAGACATTTTCTCCGGGGGATCCGATCTCTGACATCTGGAGATCACTTGTAATTCCAAGATGTCTCTCCACCCCACCTGGAGGCTGGCAACCCTAGCAGGGGCCACCATTGAAAGAATCTGTGGACTGAGTTAGGGAAACGGCTTCTTTGCAGTCCTTTCTGACTGTCCCTTGAACACACATGAAGCTGCAATCTACTGAATCAGACCACGGGTCCATCAAGGTCAGTATTGTTTACTCTGACTGGCAGCAGCTCTCCAGGGTCTCACGAGAGACCTTTTGTATCACCAAATATCTGGTTGTTTTTAACTGGAGATGCCGGGGATTGAACCTGGGACTTTCTGCATGCCAAGCTGATGCTTTACCACTAAGCCACAGCCCCTGTCACAGCTCTCCAGGATCTCAGGCAGAGATCTTTCACATCACCTACTGCCTGGTTCTTTTTAACTGGAGATGGTGGGGATTGAACCTGGGATCTTCTCCATGCTAAGCAGAGGCTCTACCCCTGAGCCACTAAGGTCTTTCACATCACCTTCTGCCTGGTCCTTTAAACTGGAGATGCTGGGGACTGAACTTGGGACCTTCTGTATGCTGAGTAGATGCTCTGCCAGTGAGCCACAGCCCCTTCCCATGGGTCTCCAGGATCTCAGGCAGGGGTCTTTCACGTTACCTGCTGCATGGTCTCTTTGAACTGGAGATGCTGGGGATTGAACCTGTGAACTTCTGCCTGCCAAGCAGAGGCTCTAAGACTGAGCCACAGCCCCTCTCCATGGCTTTCCAGGGTCACAGGCAGAGAAAGGTCTTTCACATCACCTCCTCCCTGATCGTTTTAACTGGAGATGCCAGGGATTGAACTTGGTGCCTGCTGCGTGTAAAACAGATGCTCTACCACTGAGTCACAGCCCCTCTCCATGGCTTCCCAGGGTCTCAAGCAGAGGTCTTTCCCATCACCTGCTGCCTGGTCCTTTTAACTGGAGATGCCAGAGATTGAAACTGGGACCTTCTGTATGCCGAGCAGATGTTCTACCACTGAGCCACTGAGGTCTTTGACATCACCTACTCCCTGGTCCTTTCAAGTGGAGATGCTGGGGACTGAACCTGGGACCTTCTGCATGCCGAGCAGATGCTCTGCCACTGAGCCACAGCCCCTCTCCAGAATCTCAGGCAGAGGTCTTTCCCATCACCTACTACCTTGTTCTTTTAACTGGAGATTTGGGGGTTTGAACCTGGGACCTCCTGCATGCCAAGGAGGTGCTCTACCACTGAGCCACGGCCCCTCTCAGGGTCTCAGGCAGAGGTCTTTCCCATCACCTTCTGCCTTGTCCTTTTAACTGGAGATGCCGGGGATTGAACCTGGGACCTTCTGCATGCCAAGCAGAGGCTCTTCCACTGAGCCACAGCCATCTCCTGGTACGTGCAGCGGTTGCGTGGGAAAATGTATCGTACGAATCCGCACTTCTGGGATACATGAAAATGGGGGGGGGCCCTCTCCTCCTTCCTGTTTTTGACTCTGTGCAAATAACAGATCGGTGAACGATTTGCGGATAGGGAAGGGGAAAATTCCAGCAAAATGTCTTTCCAGGCAGGAACAGGAGAAGATATATAACGTGTCTGCCTCCGTGTGTGAGGGGAAAGAGGGCAGGAGAATTTAGATGAAATATGGTTCACACCCTCCCACACATAAAACGAACAACGTTCCCGTGGCCGTTTTCCAAATGGGTTGATGGGGCCCCCGACGGCACCTTTTAAAGATCTTACGCCGGTTCAAACGTTCCATTTCCAGAAGATTTGGGCCTTGCTTTTAAGAAACGGAGCTGATGGCCTGAAAGCACCGGAGGTGATTCCAAGTTATCGCCTGTGAGGGGCTTCCTTTCCCCCCCACCTCCAAACGGTTCCACCAGATCTCACCCATTCATACATGGTTTGGGTTGGCAGGCAAAGAAGAAACTGTTCGGCCCCCCCCTTTCAAATTGGCTGCAAATGGCTCTTCGAGGATCAGGAAACTGGAGGTGTTAGAATGGCAAGGCCGCCAGGACATGATCGTTCGCCTCCTCCCCTTCCTCTCCTCCCTATTGACACTCCGGTCTCTGAGCATTAATGGATTAACTGGTGGTATGCCTGGATTTCTGGCTTGAAC